AGATTACAGACATGTTCCACTATGCTTGGTTTATTTTATTATTATTATTATCATTATTTTATTTTTTGGCTGGCTCAGGATGCCTTAAGGGCAGGTCTGGTAAGGCATGAGGATCTGGGGATTGAACCACAGTATCATGAGCCTGACTGCCTTCACCAGGCACTTAAACAACTGAGCTAATAGTCAGGCCCCTATGCTTGGTTTAAAACAAAACAAAACAAAACAAAACAAAACAAAACAAAACAAAAATCCCAGAGTCTTGAGTTCTAGCACACTGCAAATTTAACTCTGCTAAAAATCATTTGTAAGATAAGGCAGAGGATCTAGGAAGGTTTGTCTCTGCCTCTTTGCTTTTGCTGCAGTAGGATTCCTAGTTACATCAGTGGTGGAGTTCTTATCATTATTAGCAAATCTTGTTTTTTAAATCCCTATGATTATGTTAGTTTAATTGGTTGATGGTTTCAACTTTAACAGTAAGTTCATATATATGTACTTAGTATATTAACTGTGTGTAATATCTGTCAGTATTAGTGGGAATATAAAAACACATGATCATTAATTTCAGATAGTTTATAAGATTGCAGAGGAAGTTAATCCTCAAAAGAATTATGAAATGATTGAATGCTAAGGACATAGATGGTTTTGAGATTGAAAAAGGTGATTAACTTTAAGAACACAGATGATTTTGTTTTATTTTATTTACTTTTCTTTTTTGGAGGAACCAGGGATTGAACTCAGGCCCTTGTGCTTGCCAGGCAAGCACTTATTCTTCTGAGCTATCTCCCTGGCCCTTAAGAACACAGATTAAAGGTAATTAATCTGTCATTAACTTTACAGTGTAAACTTTTTCAAATTACAGACCAGTAGTGAACCTATGGCATGCATGCCACAGTCAGTTAGTTGTATCATTAAAAGCTCAAAGGTTCCTTGTCACTGGGATAGGCCATGAAAGATTTTTAGATCTGATGTGGGTTTTTCTGGTTTGTTTGTTTTGTGTCCCCCCCCCCCAATTTCCCAGCTTTTTGCCCTACTGGTACCTGTTCTGTTAGGTATTGCTAATATTCTTTTGGCAAGGCACTCCCTGTTACTCATACCATCAGAACTAGGATTGGGGAAAAAGAAGCAAATTAGTCCTCATTCCAGCCTGTGGAAAAATAGCTCTTTCTAGTCCTTTGATGTTAGATGTAGAAGAGGTTCATGAAGAAAATAGTGGTGGAGTGATTTCAAGTCCTCAAACTTGCTACAACTTGTTTAAGCATCCTGAAGGTTTTACTTGTCCTGTTCGCATGGAGGCATATGCTTTTTTTGTATTGGTTGTTCTAATGCACTAAAGGAAAAGACAAGATTAAGGTTTTGCTTGGAAAGACTTCTAAAATTTTCTCTTTAGAGTTACTTATATTTAAAAAAAAAATTCTCAATACCATTAATCATAGAGGAAGGGAAGCCACTGCTACAGAGGCATTAGGGGCCACACAGCATTACATGAAAGAGAAGGTCCTGTTTTGTCTAACTAGCTTTATAACTTTCAGCAGCTTTATACCTTTTCATGTCTTACTTCCTTTATGTTAAATCCTCTATAGAGTCCTGATTCTAAATAAGGAAACATTTTTGCCACTTAACTTTTTCTTTCTTAGAAGTGATCATTGTAATAAAAGTCTTTAATGTAGTAATGGTCTTGGCTGTATTTTAAAAGCCATCTGTGCAGTCAAGAGAATTTTGAGATCTAGGTATTGTAAATACTTCTTTAAAAAATACGTCTGTCAACACATAGGTTTATTTGCAAAAATACCTCTCTTTTGCTTTCACACATTTATTGGGGGAACAAGAGAGGATCTCCCTTCTTGTCCATGGATGGAAAGAGGTACCACAAGAGGACTCTGGAAATGGTTGGACATGTTCCCATCATCTGGGATAGGGACTGGGTAGTCAAAGGCTGTAGCCTAATTGACCATGCTGGAATATTTGCTGTAGGGGCTGATCAAGGACCAAATTATAGTGAGGTTCCCATAGTGAAGGATGGGACCAGCATCAGCTCTTGGCCTGGCATTGTTGAAGAAGGCAGGAACTTTAACAGCCATGTTTGGCAGTAGAAATACTTTTAAATGAAAATAAAAATAGTTCCTTTGCAAAAATATATTTAATCTTTTTTTTTTTTTTTTTTTTTTGATTGAAATAGTAAAGACCAGATTAAATTCTGTACTAGTTAAAACCTTACTGGCCCTACTAAATGCTTCCTCAGTATATAATTTTCTCAGATTGTTTCTCCTAATAAATTAACAGACCTTTTGTTTCTTCAAAATGTATTGTTTTTTCTCTTTCCCTTTAATGTATAGCTCTGGATTGCATTTTTCCTTCTTAATCTGGAAGATTTACCTGTTCTGATTTTTAGATTATTTGCATCTTGATGACTTCCCATAATTTTCCACTATCTTTAAAGAATCTTGAATGGACTAATCTGCTTCCTTTAACACTACTTTAAAGGAAACTTAAAGTAGTTTCTTTAACACTGTCCAGTAACCACTTTAGGTGACTGGTACCCAGTGCAGAACATCTAGATCAATTTTGACAGTATTTTATTTGTGGTAATACCAATTCAGATTTGGTTACCAACTACCAAGTTCAGTCTTTCAAAGTTGACACACACTGGTCATGTTTTAAAGACACCTGGTTTCTTTTTCTTTGTATGGAACAGAAATGATGGTTAGCACTCATAGGGAAGACTATGTTTACTATTTCTGTTCTTTGGATCTGAGATGTTCACTATTTGTGAATTGTTTAAGTATTGTTTAAAAATATCTCTGAGTATAAAGAAACTTCATATTTTCTTGGCAGGATAAGGGAAAATGATTTACTAGCCCATGTACATTTTATAGGTGAATTTCAGGTTAAGTGTGTGTTACTAAGTGGGTATATGTCAGTGTGCCATTATGATTGTTTTAGATAAAGATAATAATTTAGAAGCCAGGTGCAGTGGGGCATGCCTACAATCCCAGTTGAGACAGGAGGATCACCTTCCAGCCCAATCTGGACAATTTTGTGAGACCCTGTCTCGAGAGTAGTAGAGGTTGAGAGTGTAGCACACCAGTGGAATACTTGCCTAGTATATGTAAGTTCAATCTTTAGTACTGCCAAACCCTAAACCACATTTTCCCTTTTATGTTTTTCTCATTCCCATTTATCTGCATATCAGATTTTTGACCTCTGATGTATATCGCTGATCCAGAGCAAGATTGCACAGCAATTTAGTGTCTGAACAGCTGAATACACTTTAATTCCTGTGAGATATTCTTTGTCCAGATTGGTGTGTATCTTAGACTTGTGTCTACTGCATTTCCAAAAGAAGAAAATTTTGTGGACCTGGGAGATAGCTCAGTGGTATAAGTGGCTGCCTGGCAAGCACAAGGTCCCAAGTTTGATCCCCAGTACTAAAAAAAAAAAAAAAAAAAGATAATTTCAAGGTAGTTTATTTTTGGTAATTACCTGAGCTACTTTAGTAACCAACTGGAAGGAACTGTAACTATTCTTAGACCTGCTTCTATCGCTTTATAAGTATATGGATTGCAATTACTGTATTGTATGTTTGTGAGAAGCTAGACCTGAGAGAAAAGGAACACTAAAGGAGAAAATTCTGATAATCTCTGCAAGGAAGTGCCATATGTACTCCTCCTCCCCTTCCCCCTCCCCTTCCTCCTCCTTTCTCCCCCTTCCCCTTCCCCTTCCCCTCTCCTTCCTCTTCTCTCCTCCCCCTCCTCCCTCCCCTTCCTTTCTTTCTTCTTCCTTCTCCTTCATCCCCCTCCTCCCTCCCCTCCCTCCCCTTCTCCTCCCTTCTCCCTTTCTTCCTTTTTCCTTTCTCCTCCTCCCCTTCTCCCCCTCCTTCTCCCCTTCTCCCCTTCCTGCCTTCCTCCTCCCTCCTTCCTTCTCCTCCCCCTC